CTAACCACTCCAGAGTGACGCCATTTGGTCCAGCTTCGTTTAGACTAGAAATGATTTTCTGCGCTATTCGCCTTTTACAGCATCTTTTTTCTGCTATTTGGACTTGATTTTTTCAGAATTGGTTTTCTCAAAATTTGTCCTTGGAGCTAGATTTGGCAAGGAAGTCGCCTTCTTCGACATCCCTTCCTTTTGCCTTCGAATGCCAGGCGCTTGGTCAAAATGATGTGGATATCGATGTGAATATCGATGTGCACGACACTCAAGTGGGCCACTATCCTTACCCAGAACTTTCCAGCCAAGTCTGCACCCGGGGACAAATTCATGTAGAAATTTAGCCGGCGATCATAGGGGCAAAAAAGGGTCATTGGTAAGATTTTCTTATTGTTTACGAAATCGGTGCCGATTTTATTAGAGGACAGTAGGGACCTATAAGTGCCTGCCTTTTTGCTAATAAATTTATGGCTCCGGCTCGGATCCGGCTATGGGCGTTATTATGGACGAATGTTGTATTGGAAGACACGTTCACGCTGAAATGTGCGCGGAGAAGAACCCCTAGAGTGCTTTTCTTAATTCTCCCCTACTTGGAAGGGGAGCGAGTAAAGATAAGTAAAACAAAGTAGTCTGTCTGACCCCGCCCATTTGATCAGCGTGTGCTGCGTCTTCACATGTCGCCTATAGTTGAGGACTTTTCGCGTAAGATTACCACTATTCGACCACTATTCGATCTCTTACCTTGCTGTTAACCCGGGCTGCTGCTGTCAAGGCCACCAAAAGGAAGTCGGACTTATCACTCGGATATGCCATGCATCTCATTTTCGATCAATATCGTACACATATTTTAGTGGGTTTGGTCGACAGAAGACCCTTACATTCCCTAGAAGCGATTGTTGCACTTTTTCGTGGGTGTGATGCCAGTAAGGGTGGACCGGTGGTGACGTACCTACACGGTGTGGGGATCGTATTCCGCCTGAGGAGCCTTCATCCTCCACGATTATCAGGCTATTAACAGGGCTGCCTCGCAGTGTATGAGCGCAGGCATGAACAACACGCAGGCAAAGCAGGCCTCAGCGACAAGCGAGTTCTCCCCGCAGTACCCCTCCCCTTACCCCCTTCCATTTAGCCGAAACCACTCCTTCACAAATCCTTAGAAGTTTCCGTTGGAAGACAACGGAAGTTTCCGTTGGAAGACAACGGATGGAGGGAGTGATGCACCCGCCAATTCCACTACTGAAGAAGGTGGTCCTTCCTAGGGAAACAATGGTCTCATTGGCTAGGTGGTAAAAAAACCTGATTGGAAAATCTCTGAAATTTTCCAAAGACCAGTCTAATGCCATCCATAACCCAATCGCGGCCGCATGCAACAACGATGATTAAATAGGAGCCTATATTACCCTACCGTTTGAAGTATCCTCAGCGCCCAGCGTGCCATATCTCCAAATAGACTGATAAGTCAACTTCAAGTACTCCTTTGGTGGATGTTCTATCCCTTAATCTCTAATGGGGAGGAGATAAGACTCGCAAGATTTGATGATATTTCCTATTTGGAACCAACAACATCTACAAATTTAATGAAAAACAACGAATTCAATCAGTCGTATAGCTGCTGTGATGTACTGCCATGGGCGCAATAATTTTTGTCCTAATCCCTACGGTCTAGCCCCGAATGGAGGATAAGGGGTTGAGCTTCCTGAATCCTTTTGCACTCTGTAATCCGAAAAACCACAAAATCGCGTCTCAGCGCTTCACCTTGGTTTCTATCACAAGCAGGACACGTCTAGGGAGTTTCAAGCGAGGGATCGTATTCGGCTGCAGGAGGGAGGAAAGGCGAGGGGAGAGTTTCGCCTGAGAAAAATTTCCTTGAAGTTGATTGTTCCTGTTTCACGCGCGCTGTCCTGAACGTTGGGAGATACTCATTGGGGAGGGGTTGAGGTCGTATTTGCTCGTCGATTTGAGAGGGGGGTCGTATCTGGCCCGAGAAACTTTTTCAGAGAGGATTTATCCCTTCTTTAATTAGCGATGCCGAAAAACTACCGTTCAACTACTGTTTTCGATAGCTGAATTGAGTAGTTGTTTGGGTTCGGATTCCCTCTCCCTTCCCACGCGAGGGCAGGGTTCTGGGTAGTAAGGAAGTTGGGAAACCTTAGGAAGATAGTAAGTAGCAAGGTAGAGGAGGTTCTACTCAAAAGGTGAAATGTACGGCTGGTGAGGGTATCGTATTTTGCAAAAATTTACACAAAGACAGGATATACCCTGTTATTCAGCTTAATGCACACTGTGGGAGAGGAATCAGGAAATTGAATCGCTCGATTTCCTCCACCCCCCACTTCTCACGTCTCTGCCACCCTTCCGACCTACATCATATTTTTCTGGGAAATTCTCTTTTCTTTTCTGCGAAGAACCCAGGTTTTTCCCAGTTCTTATTATGAATTCTAGGGAAACCAATTAGATTAAGAAAAGTTAATATGAGATAATATCCGTCGTTGCCACAGTGGGGAGCGCTAATGAATAGGCTTGTCCTGTTTCTATGGAGTTTTACGTGGTGTTTTCGCTATCATGCGGCTACTATTAGTTTTCATTTCCACTATATCCGTCCACATCCGCTATAATTAGCAATTCGAGCCGTGCAAACAAGGCTCCTCAATAAAATGAGCGAAACCGGTGAATCCCCGCAGATAACAGATGGTTGGCTCCCCATTTCTCATGTTTCGTAGGCCCTCCTGGAATCTCATAAAAGAAATAACCATCAGCGTGGAACATTCAGTTTCTAGGAATTAATTTACCCACTAGAACCCAGAGAGCTGCCCATTTCACCTTTTATTACTTCCAGGTTAAATTCTGAGGCAAGGAAGTGTAGTCTGAGAGCCTGGGGGGGGGGTCGAATTCTGGATCAAATCTTGCATGGTCGGAATATATGAGCCTACGATCCAGTATGGGATATGGTGTTTCAGAAACTGAGGATCTAATTCCAATCCAGCTAAAACCGACAAAAATTCATTGTCTTTCTCAAACTTCAGCACTTCTTACCCATTACTATCCCAGATTTCGAAGTTTGGCTCGAAACTTCTCGATTTGTCTTGAAACTGGTCCTCAAGTGTAGTTCGACCTCCTAGGCGAGGATATCACATCCGCCTGGCACAAAGACGTCTTGCGCCCGCGCCACATGCGTCGGCGAAAGAAACATTCGCGAAAAAAATGTTGAGGGCAAGGAGTGGTGAAAAAAATATTCCAGCTTTCTTTCACGCGTGCCGCCCAGCTTCCGTTTCGCGCATGTCTTGAGACGGAATCGGAACCGAAGCATTATCCCTCTTTGTGCTCACCAAAGGAGAACTGAGGGACATCATCACAGAGATTTTATAGAAAAATGAATGAAAATGATAATGACAAATCGATAATGAGCCGAAAAAATTGAAACAAGAAATCAATTAACAACGTAGTTTTGCCAGTGGAATTCAATTAGAACTGTTATTCTGAATAGAAGTGGAGTGTATGGCGCATACTAAAAGGGAGTGATTGACGTTGGATGTTTATTAGATCACATCACGCAGGACAAATTGCCAGACTGCCCTAATACGAACCCCACTTCGATCTCAGCTTGTGCATTGCCTCATTAAATCCATGCTGCAACTTACTGATCCCTATCGCACACTGATCCCGAATAGAACCGGACGACCATACAAGTGACGCATTTTCATGCTTTTTTTCCACTGTAGATGCGCGCTTTGAAGGCGGATGTTGGAGGCGGATACATGGAAAAGGAAGGGCACTGGGCATATATTGCTTCTATTTAGCGCCCTCGCCCCTCACGAACTTTTTTGCCGCGAAACCGCGTACAAGTAGGAATGGTTGCCGACACATTAACGCCTTCCCGCAACCTTATTTTCAACTTCTATACTATGCTCGCGGATTGTGCTTTCAATCTAGCCCTTACAAAACTACCTTCGTTTACCAAACCTCTCGACATACTGCCGTCGATGAAGGTAGGGGCTCCGAGGGGGGCACAGAAGGACGGAGACACTGCAATTGACTTTCACAGTGTTTAGCATCAACACGTCATAACTAGTGAATGAGGAAATGCTTCACCAACGATCAAAAAATTATTAGGTCTCAGCTACTACCTTCACCTTTTACGTACTTAATCACAGATGATTGTGCCCCTGAGCTTTATCTATTATTCTGTTCAGTTCTCTGTTCTTTTCTCCTCCCGATCTCTATTTATTTCTTTCTCCTGAGGCATGATTACAGTTTCTTTGATTGTGGGTGGCATGCTTATTTGGCGTACTGAATTTCCTGTTTTCCTTTCAGATACCCGCAAGAAAAGTTTCGGCATCGAAAGGACGGCGGCGATTGAGACTGGTCGAGAAACTCTCATAGAGATCGACAAGGTACTGTAGAATAACTTTTGAATTCCTTTTTGGAAATATTTTCTAGCACACATTTATAATGAATTAATAATTATAAAGGCGCTATTTGGCTGAGGGGGATATTTCTCCAGTTCGCTAGCTTCTATTACTAGTTTCTTTTAACTCTCACTTTGTTTGGGCGGCCTGTAGCCTCCTCTTACTTTTCTTGACGACCCGCTTCAGCATTAATGAGATAAAACAAACCGCGGCTCAAAACGATGAAACCGCATTTGTCCTTATATAAGGGGTTTCCAACAAGGAACGTCCTGCCATCGGGGAGAACTGTGCAGAATATGACTCCCTCCCCCTCCCCCCTGAGACTTCCACCTCCCCCCATGCCACACGCATCATAGTAAAATCTTCTCAATTTCCTTTCGAATTTCCCGGCGCACTATTCACGCAGTTTCTTTTTCTCAAGACCAGCAGTGGCGGGAGCAGCAGGCTAAACGATCGCATTGAAAAAATGAAAACCGATAAGATCCAGAAATTAGAATTTAGGCATTAGAAATAGATCCAGTATGCAAGACGTGCGTTTGCATCTCTAATTGAGGACTCGTGTGCCAGAGTTTAGCGATTAGCATTCCAATGAAAAACAAATTTAAGGCTGATAGTTAACGTTGGCGTGCTGCCCGAAATAGCAAACTATTGATAATCTTTCGATAGAGTCTTGAGAGGGCGCGATGTCGGCGAAGGGGGAGGAGGAGTGGGGAAAATTTTGACTTTCACTACTCTAGTTCCGATTACCGTCTACTCTTGTGAGCCAGCGCGCTCTTGTGAAGCTGAGCCAAGCCTCGTCGAGCCATAAAGCGTTGAAAACTAACTCAAGGAAAGGCTCTCTAGATGGGTCGACGCATCGATGGGAAGCAGTAGTGTAAAATGCTCTCCCCCCCCCGTCGGCGAACTGCCCCGTCTTGGCTATCTTGAACTTTCTGAGCGGAATTTCGCGCTGTCGGACCGCACTGATTGGAAACCTTAATATTTCCCGCTATGGCCACAATTCCTAATTTGTGTGCTCCTCAGCTCCGTGTTTTTAGCAGCAGTCATACAAACGGTCATGCTTAATGGCTCCCAGGCTTAGAAAGCCACCGAGTAAATTCCAATTCTTTTGTTACTATATGTGGGTGGTTTGAAGTAGTTGCGTCTTCAAGTTACCAGGAAATCCCAACAGAGCGTTTGAGCCTTGTTTAGCCCTGTAAGTGCCTGCATTCTTTTTCTTGTATACAAATAAGCTTTTATTACTTCTTGCCGTCCAATAATCTCGAAGACATCACAGCAGGGGCTTTTTTCAACTGATCAAATTTCCACCGATGATTGTGATTGGTTGAACACCGACTGAGGCTTCAAAGAGAAACTCTCGTCTAAAGGAAAATTCATATTGTAGCACGGGATCCCGGACAACGGTGTGTATCCCAACTATTTCCCATCATCAATCACTCTCCCCGTCCCTCCTCTCCATGCAAACAGAGTGAAGCGAGCGAATGAGCCGTGAAAAGACACCGAACTTCGAACTCTCCTTACTTTCAGGATGGCAAAGGACTTGGCCTGTCGATTGTTGGTGGATCTGATACGGTACTGGGGACGGTGGTGATACATGAAGTTTATCCGGATGGTGCCGCTGCCCATGATGGACGTTTGAAACCGGGCGATCAAGTGCTGGAGGTTAGCATTTCAGGAGCTTATGAATTTTCTTTCATACATAGTTAGTAAAAGAATTATTATGGGCAAAGCGTTTTGCCCCATGCTCGAACCCGCACTTCCCCCGCTTTTTGAGGTATTGCTGCCCAGAATGCTTATGGCTAACAGGTGTTCTGGGACATGGCACGATATTCTCTCTATTGAGGCGCTTATTCTTTTTTTGTCGTTAGCCACTATTATTTATTTTGGCATCAAATTATTAATATCTACCCAAATTTTTGGAATGCGCCATGCATTTTACGGAGTGTTTAGGTCCAGACAACGATTAGCGAGAACCAGTGTCCGAATTAAGCTTTTCTTTTTCTAATGAAAGCTTTGGAGTTTGCTGTAACTGTATCGGCCTATCAGAGCACATCAAAGGACTGGCTGCTTAGTCCATGCCGACTCTATTCTCTTAAATTTCCTACGCCTCTGTTTCTCTTCCGCCTACACCCTTACCCCTCCCACAGCCACTCCCCTTGCTGTCATCAGATATAGAATGTTCAGATTTACGAGCAGTCAGACTACTAACTGAAGCCCATCCCACTAATAGCGCAAAATATGCGGCCTCAGAGAAAAGACATGCCGCCGTTCACCAACGAAGAGATAAGATTGCAGCTAAACTTTTAAACGAAAGGAAGAAAAGCTGAAAAAGGAAGAACATATAAAAGAACATGTAAAAGTGCAGGAACTTCTCTGAATTGGAACCACAACTTCCTAATTGGCTCTCCCAGCTTTCTATTTCTTCTCTCCCTTTTTTATTCATTCATTTTCTTTGATGTGCTCGGAGAACGTGCTGTTTACCGGGGGGAAGATGAGAATGCAGGAAAGTCCACCAACAAAAGCTCAAGTAGGAAGATTTGGGAGACGTGCAGGAATTTCTCTTGTATTGCAGCTACAGCAAGCAATCTAGCGGTCGTAATTCTCGACAGTCTAAGCCAATACATCAAGGCGTGGTTCCCCTGACGGTAGCCTCTCCATATCACTAGAGGCAGGGTTCAGATCGCTGAGGAAGATCCGCTGGGTACCGCAGTATCCGGGGAAAGAAATTATTAAAAGTCCTAACTAGTTATAGTGATTTTGAGTGAGTTCCCATCGTTCTCATTCCTGGGAGCTCATGACGTCAACCGAGTGTCTTTGTGCGAAGTTGCGGAAGCAATGAAGGGTATCGTAATCTGGGAAAATTCCGTGAAATTGCTCGGAAAAATGACGCTGTCATGACGTCATTGCGCTGCAGTACTTGCATGTGGAACGGGTTTCACTAAAATTCTATACTAAGAATTCGTTACGAGAATAGGGAGGGTTTTCTGAAGACATGCCTTGTATGGAACTCGAGTTCAGTTGCAGTATACTATATATGCTTCAGTTAATCCTGTCAGTTTTTTTTCGAGACATTACCCTATATAGATCGAACTTGATACCATTGACTACCAACTAGAAGCGTTATGAATACTTATGTTGGATCGTTGCCACACAACTCGTTTCATTCTAGAATCGTTGTTACAGACAAATATATGTGTGGGATAGGGGGGTCATCTAATAATTTACGGGTCCAGCTATGCCAGAGTAGTGCATTTATCCTTTCGAACAAGCCGAACCCAAGTTAATCCATCCCGGGTGGGACGAAAAGGTCGCATAGCGGTTTTCTCCAAATGATTCGTTCCGGTTTCGAGTTTACGTTGGCATAAGCCACTAGTGGTCGGTTCTACATGTAGTAAAGTCAACGGCGGCGATTCGGCAGGGGGCATTTTGAATGTTTTGCTCCTCAATGGTCTTGTTTCACGTCTCACTTCGGGGAACCTGTGATTTCCTTGTGAAAGCTGGAAGCAAGGTATTCGAGCCCACAATGTAAAAACCATACCAGCTCGATAAGAATTAGCTCTCACTAGACTGGGCCGACACGTCACGAGGAGGTAGCATTAAGTGCGAAATGCCCCAGCGATTAAAATGCGTAGGCAATATCATGTCTTGCTAGCGCTGCTGAAGTGGCTGCGGATAGTGCTGAGTACACACACCGTGGCGTTATTGAGCCACGACTCGAAGCGAAAAACTCGTTCCGGGATTGCTGTCTAAGTCGTGCCGGTTGGGAACAAAGTACTTTTAGGTGTTTTGAATCGCTGTCACTCAATTCTTCGCCATTATTACGATTACGTATAGCACCTGCCACCATTTCTAGACGAGTACAGTTATTGCTTTCAAACAAAGTCTCACTCTAACGGGCGCTCGCTATGGCACTGCGGAACACACTTATACTTAGCGCTTTATTTATAGTAACAAATGCCGTTGCCCTTTGGAATTTTTATGTTCACTAATGGGTGCGGCATCATTCGATGACGTAGTTTCATCTGTAAAATATAGGGAACGGATTCCCGTAGTGCTCGGAGAGTGCACAATGCGGGCAGAACTACCGTATACACTTCATAAGACTCTTCTCAATTATGATATTTCCACGAATTATCTTCACGTCCATTCGAATAGGGGAGTGCTCATGTTCTTGCTAATACTTAATGACAGTGTTCCTGAGCACTTAACGAATTACCGCGCTAAATGCGCTCACGTCTGCTCGTTGTTTCAGAAATGAGGCGACAAAGGGAATTCTTCACAGATTACACTTTACAACAATTACTAATATTGATCAGCTAATATCAATTTTCATTAATTTCGCGAATTTCAGGTGAACAACGTCTTGATCTCTTCGCGGCCGTACCGATCAGGCTATCTCATCCCTTTCGTCGGATCCCCAAAGGTGAGCCTCATGTTTCATCCTTGACAAATTCGCTTGCAAAGTGCGCGATTATTTTTCAGGATAGAGGCATCTCACACTTCAAGACACCCTTCCTAAATGGGAGCTTGTATTTGTCTCGCCTGCGGACGAAAGGCCGGAGGTCGTTATCTCGGTCTGTTTTGGAGATTGGGGGGGGGACTTATCGCCTTCAAGAGAAATGCTCGGTTGTTGAATTTTCTCAGCTTTTTTCGGGTGCATTGCTACTCACGCACGCCCCTATCGCTCGTGACAGTTGTTTGAGGGAAACCTGGAGGTTTTTTTCGCCAAGTTGGAAAAAGTGGTGAGTTGGAGAAATTCAGGATATTAGGTAAGATGGGGAAAGCGAAAGGGCGGCTCGTATACCGGGGAAAGATCGGAGGGGATTCGCATCTCGCAAAACTTTTCACCGAACAGCAGGATACCTTGGTCAGAAATTTTAAGCGGGCGTCACCATCGCAGCGGGATGCTAGAGAGTGGCGGTGCGCGACATTATCTGCACCAGCGTCTGAGAACCGCGTTCCCTCAGACTTCAAAATTAGTTCGAAAAAGCAGTTGCAACTCTCCAACATTTGGCGGAAGGGTCTGGTTGGCCACATTCGCGGTTTAATCGATCGAGTCGCGAAGTATAAGCGCGACCTTCATTTGTGGCGGAAGTGCTACGGTAAACTAAGTCAACTAGCCAGTGAATAGCATGCGCGCCTGGCTTCGTAATTCGGACCTCTTGGCCCGCATTGCGGTCGCTCTAGGAAATGGATGAAGCTTACTTATAGTCGTGAACCTTGCAAACGAGAGGGCGTTTTAAGGGGCCTGGACTAGAGCGCTTTCGGGGCGGCCTTTTTCACCAGTAATGCGAGCTAGGGAACAGATCTGCCTTCCAGTACACGCCCACCCCTCCCCCACCCTCCCTAGCACGCTCTCTTGTTTGCTGGGATGAATAGAGCGATTAAATATATCCGTTTCTCTGGCAGCCTCCATCTACTTCATTTCGAACGCTATCTCATATGTGCGCGTATCCAACGCGCGATACTTATCGCTGAGTATAACCGCACCCACTGAATTTTTCCTCCATCACTCGGTTATCTTTTTCAGGTTCGACTTCTGATCTATCGCGATGTGAACCTCCAACTGAGCCTCCTAGATCCTACCCAGATCTATAACATGTTCGAAGTGGAGCTGGTAAAGAAACCGGGAAGGGGTCTTGGATTAAGTATAGGTTAGTTAACTTGTTATACATATGCCAGACTCTTATTTATTTTTATTTATTGATTATTTCCTGTTTCGTTTCTAGGAAAAAAAAGCGCAACCCCAAGTATGTGGGTTTTCTGCTGCCTCATTTCACCCAATTTCCTAGGAGGGTGGGGAGAGGGTAAATGCCTTTGAGGTCAACTATCAGGAATAGTAGTCCTGCGACGCCTAGCGGAGGGAGTGTGATGCGTGTACGGGGAAACAACAATCAGCAAAAAAATTCTCCCAGGCCAGATACGCCCCCGTAAACAGTAGACTCCATGCGAAGCCCGCCCCAGACTGTCACGCCCCTTTCCACCGCGAACATTCAGAAGGATTCTGAAGACAGGCCTGTTTCAGTTGGCCGCAAGAACGAACCCGGTGTCTATGTGAGCGAAGTGGTCAAAGGTGGTGCAGCCGAAGCCGATAACCGACTAATGACTGGTGACCAGGTAATTTTTCTTTCAATTTGGGTCTCCTAAGAGTCGTTCATGTGATTCCTCCGTTTTCCAGATTCTCGCTGTTAACGGTCAAGATGTCGCAAATTCAATGCAAGAAGATGTCGCAGCCATGCTGAAAACGTGTGTTGGACGAGTTTGCTTGAAGGTTGGCAATTTTTGGATTATATTGGGAACTTTTCTGCTTATTGCTTATATCAGTGCTGCTCATTGTCAGTGGGACACTATGTGCCTCGGAAGGGGCCATTTTCTAGCGATACTTAGTCACGATATGTTACTTAGATTCGGTGAGAGGGTGCAGACAAGCAAACATGACGTGGCACATACGCCTTGCTTAAAAATGGCTCCTTCTGTGGCACACACTGAGAAGCATACTGGGAGATCGTAGAACCTTAGTATCTTATCACGGGAGCTACTCTCTACACATTTCGCTTGTTCTAGTCAAAGCTATAAAGAAGTCAGTGCCGTTCGGTTTGGTGGGGGATGCCCCTGGTTACAAGCGGGAGGCATCGAAGGCTGCATTTACGACTTTATGCAGACTAAAAATTAAGCAAATTTTGTAGTCTACTTATCCGGACGAGTTTGTTATACTTGACAGACATTTACCGTCACATGTCACGTGATGTCAACGGCGAAGAAATCGCGCCAAATGGCCGCCTTCCCAAGCGCCCACCTTCGGTGAAAGGGCATGGTCCAGGCCGTAAATGAACTGCAAAGCCTAAAGTGTTTCAAGGTTAACCCCAGTCGACGTAAAAATCCTAGGGGAGAAGTTTGAAAACTTTCTGACCACACTGTTCTGTTGCTTTTTTCAACAAAAACTTTTCCCATTTTGAAGATCAGGAGAGACGGTCAAGACAATCGTGATTCTCCGCGTCGTCGCGCGCGGCGAGTTCGGTGGCAATGAGCGCGGTGGTTCGACTAAGATATTCCACGACAACGAGAAAGTTGATATTCCCAGCCTGTGATCTTCCCCTGCTCAGGTACTCTATTAGTGGGAAAAAAGTTGGTACTAGAATATCGTAGATCCGGCTGGGAATTACTCAGCCAACGGAATCGCTGGCCTACGCTCGTCAGCGCGGCCAATGAGCGATTGTCTTGTCACATTCCCGAAGATCAGTGAGCGCTGCTAAAGACTAGACCAGGCGGCATCGAGTAATTTCTCACCGGAAATCGATGCCAAGGTCTCATCTGGGAAGCGTCTAGGAGTGAGTTCGACCAAGCAGCTTGCCCCAGTGATGCGAACGCGCAATGTGCGGGGGTAAAGACTGGATGGAGAGAAATAAGCCATAGTTTGAAATGAAGTACGTGGAATGAGTTCCATCACTCGCCTCACCAGCCATTCGGTTGATCATCCACTTGGTGGACTCTTTCCTATTCATCACCACTGCGAGAGGGAATCAGTGCAGTGGACTCTTCCCTCTGAAGGGCAATTTCTTCGCGCTGATAACCTTGGAGGCAGAGGAGCATTCAAAACGTTACCACAACAGAGACAACGTTTTTGCTGTAGCCTAAAGGGTGGAAGAGCTCCTGGGTGGAGAGGTGAACCATTTCCAAGTAAAGTCATCCCATGTTTATCAAGGTTGTCCTGGCTTCGTACGAAAACCCTTGAACGAGAGTAGTCAAGCTTTTAATAACGATCTAGAAACGATTGAAGGAATTCCGTTTTTCTGCTGCCCGTCATTCCCCATATAAAAGTCGAATATGACTTCATGAACATTTTGTTGAGAAAAAATGCTTTCCCCGAGATCACCCACTGCCCCGAGAAATTCCCTTGGACGCCGTTCGGTTTGGTGGGGGGAGGTGGGAGGGGGCAGCGAGTAATACTCGGCTGAGCTTGTACAGGCCTTACGGACTTGAAAACCCTCGTGACAGAGGTGGCTCAATCCAACTTCGTCGCAATTCAGGAGTTTACATCTGTGACACAAGTGAGACTTGTTGGTCATCATGAGCGAACAAATTAAACCAACAAAAGTGCAGGATGCCCCTTCCAAGCCAGAGAAAGCCTTCTCTCGTT